TTGTTAGATCAACCAATATGGCGGCTGTTTTATTGTTTTTCATCTCTCAAGGGATTTTGAGTCACGTGGTTGCACATACTGTATACCGTGGAATATCCCATGAGGCACTTAAGAGTGAGCAGAACTAAAAGTATCCAAACTATTGACTGTGAAGATGATCTTGTTGTTCTTGATCTTGTTGATTATTCTAGAATGATATCGAGGAGTGCGTTGGGATTATCAGGGACTTGGAACCTGATTCCCGAGAGAACATCATTCAGATCAAGGCGGCTTTGTGGGCTCTGGTAAGGCACTGTGTATGACTGTGTATGTGGGAAAGAGGGAGGGAGAGAGGGAGGGAAAAAGGGAGGGAGAGAGGGAGGGAAAAAGGGAGGGAGAAAGAGAGAGAGAGAAAGGAATAGGGACTTGGAGCCACCTTTCTTCTAGGGACCCACCAATTAAAGGTCTATACTCAGTGTACCATTTGTTTGTTACCAGGGACACTGTGGATCTTCAAACTGGGGAATCACGTTACTCGTAGAAGAAGACGTTATTCCAGACATAGTGCGCATGGCAGAAGAATGCGACGATTTTGCTATCAGAGGGTGAGTAAGCGGATCATTAATCAACGTGTGTTGAACTAGCCATTGAACCAACTCTAGTGACCGTAGTACATATTTATCATTTCGCGTCACTTGGTGATACTATCACGTCACAATACTATCATGGCATAATGCATTCGTTCATGTGATACTGTGAGGACACGACACGGGGACTACGAATTCTTCGTTGCTCCGGGCTAGTCTCGATTTTGTATGGAATTATTTTGAATATTCATGTGTACTTTACTTTACCATTAGTATTTGTGGATATTTCGACAGCCTAACCCTGAGTAAATGAGTCCCTGCTGTATTTGACCACTTCGAAAACGATCATTTTGTGCGCACGGTATTTTATTGAGTTCTGCCTAACAACCACACACACACACACACTTTCTCTCTCTCTCCAGAACATGTTACTATGTCCTTGGTCTGGCCGCCAAGACCCGACAAGGTGCCGAGATCCTGACTGATCAAGAATGGGTCAGCATTCGACACATGGGGAATGAAGAATGGCCTGTAGTGGAATCCAAAGATTTAGAGATCCCTGCCATGGTGTTGGCCAGTCCTACACCATCGCCAACGTACTCCGCATTTCAACTTGGTAAGATCACCGAAGGCAGTGATAACGGTATTTATCTTGGTGAAGAGCCGAAGAAGACTGCTGATTCATCCTACGATGAACTAAGTGGAATATACATCGGTGAGGATAAGACAGCGAGTAAGAAAGTAGGCAAGGAGGAGAAGTCAGAGCCTGGTGGGATACTGGCACGTTGGTACGCGGATGCAGAGAGGCGCCGAAAAATCGCGACTCGCGAAAGTGGACTCTACGACGATGCGAGTGGAGTGTATATTGGGAACGAAAGAGCGCCTCAGAAATCATTACTCGATCAAGAGAATTTTGTCCCTGGTGGGATCATGGCAAAGCTGTACCAGGACGCTGGCCTTGGTAAGCCAAAAGATTCAAAACACAGGAGGAATCTTAGCGAGGGGAACTTTAGCTCCAGCACGGGGGTCTTGAATGAAGCTGGTAATGAAATGGATGCTAAAAGAAGGACTTACTCTAATGTGGACCACACTGAACCATTGAATGTGGAGTTCAGTGGAAGTGGTATGCCGAAGATACAGAGGCAAATGTCAGGAATAATGATGAAGCACGTTCATTCTTCGGTGAGTGTTAGTGTGGGAATTGCCCTATTTCACTATGACGTCACTGCTTGTTTATGTGGGGGATAGAATCGCCAAATCCAATAGGAAATTCAACAAACTTTGCTCCTAGCGAAACAGTTTAATCTAAAATGGCCTGGTTTTCAGATATAATACGAGTTAATATGTACTAAAAAATATTCTGAGAGTTTGCTGGCTATTCTACTTTTCTTCGTGGATTGATACGGGTTTTAGAACAATTTTCGGTGAATTTGCGTTGATTTGACCCCCTCCRACGACCATGATCGTTCGCGTTTAAACAATAGATTGATTTGATCTGACGTCATAGTGAAATAGGGCAATTGTCACGAGTTCATTTAGTAGCTATTCAATATATTCCAGCTTCCCACCCTTCCTTGCTTCCTTGCTTTCTTGCGCCCTTCCTTACTTTCCTTCATTTTGTAGAGCGCCACAAGCGAAGACTCCTTGGGCAACGACAACAGAGAAGCCAAAGAAGGAAGCGACTCAAACCTCGAGACTCGAAACAGATACGACAGCAGTTGTTCCGAGCTGACTGTCCCCATAGGTCATGGACGGACAGACAGTAACGTCAGTAGCATCAGCGAAAACAGCATCGACTACCAAGATACGTCATCCATGGACCCCAGCTACGGAAGTATCGGAGACTTTTACGAATCACCCAAGGCCGAAAACCGGTTTAAAACAAGGGCTATGGATGATCACCGGCTTATCAACCCGCCACCACTCAGGCTGACCGCACGCATGAGTAATGACTCTGTACACACCGAAGAAGGAAAGTTATCGCTTGATAACGACCCAAGACGTGCGATCCTCACCAGGCAGAGAAGCATCAGCATGACCGAGAAAAAACGCACGAAGTCGCCAACCCTTGCTCTCATAGCAGAAAACAGAAGCTCCAGTTTTCATGGAAGTACAGAGTTTAGTAAGATAACTTCGTCGAAGCGCTCTACAAGTGGCATGCAATCCTCAGAAAATTCCACAGGGATGGACGATGGGCTGAGTAGCACGAGTTCTAACAGTCTAGCTGAAGTGAAGATCCTGAGTGACAAGACTATTGTCTTTCGTACAGGGGTCGAAAAAGACAGGTCGCTGAGTTTTGATAGTGCGCAAGTAAGTGATCTCAGAAGGGATCGACTTCTTGTGAGCTCTCAAGTCAGCGAACCTGAGATGGAAAGCGGCTCTCTCAAAACGCGCAGTCGCACAAGTTCTTGCGAGAAGGCAGAACTTGCGCGTAGACTTGGACTGAAGAGTGGAGACATTTCGCAGAGGTCTTTTGGACGGTCCAGAAGTACAAGCAGCGGCTATGGATCCGAAATCTATCAACGCAAGAAAATCATTAATAAGAATAGCCTATTGGGTGATACTGAACATGTTACCGTCTCCGGGGACTCGAACAAGAATGCGCGCTCGCTCTCAGATGTTGGAAAGTACACGACTATGCGGGATGCTTCTGGATACGTGGCTCTTAGCACACTACGTCGACAATACAGCTTAAATAAAGAAGCACTGGCCCCTGCAAGCAGTTATAACCGACCTCTGTATACTGCAGGGTAAGAATAAAATTCAAAGTTATATTGTCATTCGCGTGGGATCCCTGTGGTTTTTGACGTTTTGAGCTTCTTTTGTCAAGGGGAAGGCTTCTAAGCTAAATAAAGATGGTGAACAATTTTAAATGTTTCTTCGCTGTAATATCTGCAAGTTTTGATTCCTATTTTGGACATTAAAAAAGTTTAGATGGCGGAAAAATCACCCAAAATTAAATATATGTTCACTTCCAAAAAAGGCAAGCTTACCAAATATGGATAGAGCGATGATGGTGGCCTTCCATCCCCCAACCTATGAGAATTGCCCAAAATTGAGATGAGACATGCACAAAATGACAAGCTTGCGCAATTCCGCAATTTGCCGTATYCACCGCTACAGTCGTTCAGTTGCCTGGTAAAAACCCCTTCCTGGACTCGCCTTTGAAGTTCCCATAAATCTTTTCAAAGCGTCTACAAAATAGCTTTCTTACGTTGTTTCGTTGTTCTAACGGAATTCAGTTAAAAATGACAGCATCGAGAATATGAGACTCACTTTTCCCATTTCTCCTGCTGGTTTTTCATTTCCTGTTTTTCTTATTCTATCTGCGCCGCGTGCTCCAATGCATCTATTAAAACTGTTGGCTTGCTACTATTTTCACTGCTACACGCTGATCGAGACATTAGTTGCGACAGGACAATTGGGCAATACACTTCCGTCAATGGAAATGATTGGTCGGCACCTTTATATTCTCTAATTGGCGGCAGTGTATTGCCCTATTTCCCTGTTGAGACTGTTGTAGCAGTGAAAAGAGTGGTTGAATGATGCGCTTAAATTTGGATATATACACACGATTGATTCTCGCACTTTATTTACCTTCTTATAGGCCAGCCGTAACAGATTCAACAGGTTTGACCGCACGAGAAAGTTTGAGTAGTTCTACAAGCAGTTACGAATTCAGACAACTCGCCAGTTCTATGGCTAGTTCATCTGTTGGTAGAGAGTTCTTGGGCTTGTGTCTCCCGTTGAATTTAAGCTCATTCTTTCAGGTATGTGTACTTCCTTAATACACTCCTTGGAATAGTTCTTCAGTAAGTCGGCTCAATTTGGAGGAAAGGACAATACAAATATTCTTCTAAGATTTCGAATGGCAGCGAAAAACGTACAGCTTGTTGGACGTATCGTGATGTGCCGTAACGCGGGGTTTTYCCCCCCTAATTTTATAACCATTTTCCTGCTTGTGTTTTTTTGTTTTTGTTTTTGTTTTTTTAAATAATAGTGGTTTAGTCCAGGTGTCACAGTCGTAGAGCAAGCTTGCAACTGCGGGACGTAACTTCGTGCGTGCATAATACCAGAATATATATATATATATTTCTTTCTTACTTCCTAGGTTGAGCAGTACGACTACCAGGGATCATGGGCGGATCATTTCATATCGGATCCCACAACAATAGGAGTCACAAACAACCCTGAAGAACCAGATGGAATCTCCGACGAACACGAGCCTTCGCGCTGTCTAGGGTGCATGTATTCAAAGCGCACTAAGTCAATGAGTGAGAGAAGAAGATCCATGGACTCCATGACTGATCCAGACAGGATCTCTTACAGGAGTGTGGCAGACGAAGACTTGTCTGGTGATAGTTCTTCTACTAGTTTTGCCAGTAGTGTGACCTACTTGGGGCAAGAGAACGAAGAAGAAGCAGGATCGAAGAACTTGGATGAGTCTTCGCCTAGAGGGAGAGTGCTTATTCGAAAGACGGTGCTGAGTCTTGTCGTAAAGCTGAGCAGCGCTGTTGGATCGAAGTCTCACCAGGAGGGGCTGTTGCAGTACGTAGGGATCATTATCATTATAACCATCATCATCATAATAAGCCTGAAGCGAGATGACGTTTTACCCCCGTCTCTRGACCATAATCCTTTTCACACTGCTTTTGTTCTTTAATTATGACTATTGTTCCTGCATTCTCTAAGGAATCAAAAATTTTAATATGAAAGAATTTAAAAAACTATTATGGTCTAGAGACGGGGGTAAAACGTCATCTCGCTTCAGGCTTATTAGCAAATACACCAGTTTCACATTCAATGCATACCGCTGTTTTTGAAGACTATAGACTCATTTGCAAAGGCTTAGCCTCGTTTATAAGTMAGCTATTCACAGATGCCATTAAAAGTCAGTGGGATTTCAAAACATTGGTATTGTTCAAGCTGCACATTCTTTACATTAAAGTTGACATTTGTAAATGATTTACCCTCAAGCATGGCTAAGCCTGTGCAGATGAGTCTTCAGTCTTAAAACACAGCGGTACTTACGGAATGAGAAAAGGGACTATTTCATTACTGAAATTTTCATAAACATGCGAAAAGTGTCTGCGAGCTGTTCGCTGAAATTTGTTTTTTCGCTGCCGCCAGTCAAAAATATGAAAGGTGCCGACTGAGTAGGTTTGATTGACGGCATCAAAAAACAAATTTCAGCGAACAGCTCGCAGACACAGAGTTCGCATGTTTATGAAAATTTCAGTACCTCCATGATCTTGATCATCATCACCATGTCGTACTGAATTTCACCTTTATTTTCTTTTAGGTTGAAAAGTCGTTTTCCTCACATCTTCCAAGATCTTTGCATGTTCTGTGAAGTAGTAGACTTAATGAGCGTCTACCAATTTCGTCTGTTTATACGAAGGTTCTTAATACACACTCTTTTTAACGATGTACTTTTTACTGAGGTGAGATATATATATATATGTAACTTGTTGTTTTTTTGCCATTAGACCGGGGCTACTCCCACTAACACGAACAATTTTCCGGAGAGGAAGTGTCCTTCCTCTCCGGCCCAATTACTCGTTCGTTATATGAACTGCCAATGCAAAAAGGGTCACAGGGAGTCCAAGAACAAGACAGTCACTTTATAGTCAGTATAGACCATTTTCGAGTTCCAAATTACTGCCGTGTGTTCCTTGATTACGGACAAACACTTTGAAAATCCATGGACTTGGAACACGTGAATATCGGGGCTAACCCCGAGCAAGAGAGAACTCGAAAACTGGAGTATCCCTGTCTTTCCATGGACGCCATTCCTATGATCTCTCTGTACTTATTTCTTTATTTATTTTCTTTAGATCCATGAACGTGCTGATGCTATTGCTTACGGCGGCGTAGCAGCGACGAGTGCATCTACTTGCTAGATAAAGGTCATTTGGTTAAAAAACCTCCTCGCTTAGCTAAAATAACTCTGTAAATGGTAGTCTCAAGCAAAAAGTCAAACTTAAAAAAGCTTGAGCATTTATTGCCAGAGACCAAGATTTTGACGTGAACTTACGTCATAACAAGAACTAGGCAAAGAGTAAAAAAATAGATATCTAGATGTTTCAGTTAGCTAAGAAGTTGCTTTGTACAAATGTTTCGTTGTAAATGCTGTAATTACTCCTAAAATGGTAAAGAACGAATGAATATAGTAAACTGATCAAACAAATAAAATAAAAATCTTTAATTATACAAAATATCAGGTTAAAAATTTATCCATGATTACTCTGGCTTCCTATAAGACATATTACTTGCGATCGTCTTGCATCGTCTTGCCAAGGTGTTGTAGGGGAAATCTATGCCCGAGTGAACATATCCATGCGTTTTTATAGATATAAAAGAAATGATAGCATCGATGAATATTTGAATTACAATTCACCGGCATCCACTCTTAAAGTTTCTGAGTTGTAAACAGCGAAATTAAGGAGTTTCTTGATTTTCTTCAAGCAGTCGAGTGGAGGGACCGTATGGTCCCAATACTTTTCCACATTACCCTCTCGATCAATCAAATACTTATTGAAGTTCCAAGTGGGGCTTCTCCTCGTCTGGCTCTCCAGAAACTTGTACAAGGGATGGGCCTGTTCTCCGATGACGTTGATCTTGGAGAACATTCGGAATTGGACTTTGTATTTCTTCCTTACAAAGCGATGTATGGCAGAGTTGCGGTTAGGTTCCTGGCTACCAAACTGGTTACAAGGGAAAGCAAGGATAACGAAATGGTCGACTGAGAATCTGGATTGAAGGTCAACGAGCTGTTTGTAGTGGAGGTCAGTGTAACCACACTCGCTGGCTACATTGACGATGAGAACGACCTGAAAAAAAAAAAAAAAAAAAAAAAAAAAAAAAAAAAAAAAAAAAAAAAAAAAGTTAAGGAATTGGATATTCACTATCAATCAATTATTTTACACGTTGCGTTCCAGAAGCTATTTAAATCCCGTTTATAATACGGGCATACAGAGGAACCAGTCAGAAAACAAGTGTCCGTTTTTTCATGGGGAAACAAGTGGTGTTCCCAGACTTGGCATTATAAATGAGTGGAGTTTTTTTTTTTTTATCATATTTTTTAAAATTTTCTTCCATTATTTTACACGTTGCGTTCCAGAAGCCATTTAAATCCCGTTTATAATACGGGCATAAAGAGGAACCAGTCGGAAAACAAGTGTCCATTTTATCATAGGGAAACAAGTGGTGTTCCCAGACTCGGCATCATAAATGAGTGGAGTTTTTTTTATCTTTTTTTTTTTTCTCCGGGTTTCTCCAGTGTTCGGCACAAAACCTCACACACAGCTCTGACTTTGATCAGTCCAAAGGCTGTTTAAGGGTATAGCATGGATAAAATCTCCAGGGTCTTTAAGGCTGCCCGTATCAGCGGGTTATTTAATTAAAAGTAGTAGACGCATAGTCACTAGGACAAAAATTAGTGTGAGATTTGTCTGTTATCTGTTTGACCTGCTTTTATGTRAATAATTAATGTCACGCTGTACACTTATGAAAAAAACTGTATCTTTGAAAAAATCTGATATTTCTTATATGGAAGATTCTTTGCCAGTCGTTCTCAGATAAAGATTAGAAGTATGATTCAGTCAGTAATAAAAGAGGCTCCATTTGATACCCAGTGTGTGACATGCATCTTTGACCTTAATGTAGCTACGTGGCGATTCTCAAGATCACTATAAAATCCTATAGGAATTCTAGTATTTTACCTAATCGAAATTCCGCAGTAAACATGTAATGAAATATAGTAACTACATAGATCAAGGGTTTATTGTTTAGTTTGAGCTTACATGTAAATGCCTATTTGTTGAGTACATTGGAAGGGTTTCACATGTAATACTGACAGTGACTTACAGCACGTTGRACGGTACGGCATCCATAACACTGAAATGGCTTTTATTCTGTCTGCACGCTTTTGCGTTTGCCGTAGCTCTGAAATGGCTTTCCATTGTGCTGTTAATGTTTATAATGAAAACACCGCAAAAACTTTCTACGAAGTCGCCGTATTTTATTTTATTTTTCTAAAGGGAGGCTCGTTATCCGTGGACGGATAGATAAACCCGTGAAAAAGGTATTAGACTTATACATTTTATTAGACCAGAATTCCATTGTTGTCTTTCGTGTCTACACGTTGACCAATATTTTTTTATTTCACGGGTTAAATGCCTTCACTCTATTACAGCACATCTTAGAACAGACATCTAGCTAAAGCATACCTTGCCGCGAAAATGATCCCCCATTAGCACGTCCCTTCCATAGATATCCTTTGCAGTAATGTCGTAGAACTTCGAACATATGGAGAACTTGAAGTTTGCTAGAAAAAACAGGACAAGGGATAGAATTCCGGCAAATGATTTGCAGTCCTTCATCTTCGATCTTTTCACGGCGTTCAATCTGCACGACTTTAACCGGCCAGGAGATCCTATCGTACATAACTCCACAGGGATCCCATGACATTACTTTCTTAACTTAAAAATAAAAGACAAAGAAAATTAAATGAGCATTTTTAAAAGTTATTTTTTAATATGATGATCAGCTAGATTTTTCTTAATATACCAATAATATTCGTTGCAAATCATCTTTTTTCTGTCGGTTTGTTCTTCATAATTGGGCTACCTGTGGATTGCATGTTTATTTTCAATGTTTACCCGTAGCATAGCATAAGCCAATCAGAACATCCGTACTATACATCAACCAATCAGAATCGTCCTTATAACACAGACAGCTGTTGTAGCGCGTCTTTCGAATGCTGAATGAGAAAGCAAATTTTCCAAACTCAGCTAAATTTTTCTATAAAAAGCGATAAATTTTCACTTAAAAATGTCTCGTTTTAACTTCGAATCGGAGTTGGATGATCTCCTACGTCTTGATGCACCTATGGGTAAAGGACCAGTGCCAAGGTGGCAAAGAAAAGCGAATTCAGACCGCTCTCATTCACCGCTTCGTTCCTCACGGTTGAATACGAGTAGCAAAACTCCTTCGAAAACTCCAAAATCCAAGACTCCAAGGACCTCAAAAACACCCAAAACACCTTCCGAAGACAGATTCATCCCATGTAGAAGTAGTATGAACTTTGAGACCAACTACTACAAAATGGTTTCGACGGAGAGCGACGACCAAGAGAATGAAAGCCCTTCGAAGAAGGACTACAAGAAGAACGTCTCGGAAAATTTGAATGGAGGCGAAGCGAATGCTAGAATTCTTGCTTACAAAACTAAAGCACCTACTCCGAGAGAAGGTATAAAAGTAAAAAAAGCATTTATGTTCATGTCTTTATAATGTCGGCTACTTTAATTTGTCGGCTTGTCTATCTTTTCTTGTGCAMATTTTCTTTGAAGAACTAAGCTATGGCGAAGCGCCTTCGGAACACCTTTGAGTCCGTTTACCGGTGTATAAATTACACGGCTTTGATTTGAGGGAAAAAAATAACTAATTGTTAATAAAGACTAAATGATGTATGCGAATATAACAAAGATTTACTATCGTTATTTTTTATAGGTCATATGAACGACCTTCGTGTGCTATACAGCCAGAGCAAGACGACATCTACGACCAAGAAGAAGAATGCTCGCCATATATCACAAGTCCCTGAGAGAATCTTGGACGCTCCAGACCTTCTCGATGATTATTGTACGATCTTCTTTTAAATCTTATTCAATATGTCAACGTCTTTGAACACTGCTGGGTGGGCTGTCTGTGTTTTCTGGGGCATTTGGAATCGTCAAAGACATATTTTAAAAGTTTTTTACTTCATCTATTCTTTATTTATAAAAACATTGGTACCTTTATGTTCACAAAATTTACATATGCCAATGAAAAAGTATTCTTCCTCTCCTCATCATTATCATTGTCATCTTTATCATAATCATCATCACCACCATCATCAAGTGTTATTCTAATATTATAAGTATGACAATATTTTTAGATCTCAACCTGTTGGACTGGAGTTGTAATAACCACCTCGCTGTTGCTCTCGGTGGATTCGTATATCTGTGGAATGCAGGTTCTGGTGATATTGTTCAACTCTGTCAGATGGATTCAACTGATGTCTATATTGGTTCTGTTTCCTGGATAAAAGAAGGGAACTTCCTGGCCGTGGGTGCCAGTGATGGAACTGTTCAGGTAAGCTTGAAGTAAACATAATTTTGAACCTATGATGAGGCTATTGGAGTAATGAAGTATTATGCTCCTGCATATATTATATATCAATGAGCAAGGATCATTGCAAGATATATGAATAAAGTATTGATGGGATATTATTAATTTATTTTTTATTATCTTTAGCTGTGGGATGTAGAGAAACAGAAAAGAGTTCGCAACATGACAGGTCAYCCATCAAGAGTGGGTTCTCTCTCATGGAATTCATACATAGTTTCAAGGTGAACTTCCATTGCTCATGGCCTATTAATAGGCCCTTTGCAGTTAACAGTCACGTGTGTGTACTGGTGAGCAAAATTTTTATATTTATTTTAAATTGGCGATTCTTTTTAGCTACTTGTAAAGAACTGGATGAAACGGTGTGTAACCAGTGTGTCAAGAAATGCAGTTTTATTACAATCTCTCGAAACAGGTTGTAGACATTTTGTTTGCTCACCAGTATATTTCGCCCATTGGAATCAAGATGTTCATTCATTTGCTCTCAGTGCATTAATAATCAAGTGATTACTGAGCTGCAAAGGGCCTATTAGCAATAAATCCATAAATTATGATTTCCACAAGTATCAATTATACTAAATTTAGAAATGTTAGGCCTCTTTTTGTGAAATTCCATGTAAGTTTGAAGATTTGGTTCAGCACTCTTGCAAAGAATGCTTTCATGCTCATTTATATAAGTTAGCCCATTTTTGGAGTGCATGTTATTATAGCTGCCTTGTTAGTTGACAATAGCAAATCATTCCTCTTGTTAGATCAACCAGCATGGTGACTGTTTCATTGTTAGTCATATCTCAAGAGTTTTGAGTCATGTGGTTGCATACCAAGAATACAAAGCAGAGTAAAAGTTCCAGTACCCCCACCCCCTCAAATTAATCCAAATGAATATAACATTGCTATATTTCATTCCTTAAAAATTTTGCTTAATTCAGTGGTTGCCGAAGTGGTGCAATTCACCATCATGATGTGCGTGTTGCTGAGCATCACATAGCCACTCTACAAAGACACACACAAGAAGTATGTGGTCTAAAGTGGTCACCAGATGGAAAACTACTAGCAAGTGGTGGTAACGACAATATCTTGAACATCTGGGATGCTAGTGTTAACACAAGTACTTTGAATGAAACTCCTCTGTTTTCATTATCTGATCATCAAGCCGCTGTCAAGGTTAGCGTTGTTTTTTTATGTACTGTGAAGCTGATTAAAAATTGAAACAGCTTCTTCGCTGTTCAGTAAGGCAGCAAAGTGAAAAAAGTGATGAAAAGCACTGAAGGAAACCCACTCAAGAAGTACAAAGAAAAGCACGAACCATAGACAGGTGGTCAAGTTAGATACCTTTAACTGAATAAAATACCACTTATTTTTTAGGCACTAGATTGGTGTCCATTCCAGCGTAATGTTCTAGCCAGTGGTGGAGGAACTGCCGATAGAAATATCAAATTCTGGAATGCCTCAACTGGTGTGTGCTTGAATAGTATTGACACCAAGTCTCAGGTTAGTATATAACAACAGGAGGTACAAGCATAGTAGCCTGCGTGGGGGCTCTAGGGGATTGTGACCATAAGAAAATTGTCTCACAATCCTTAAAGTAGTCTTTTAAAAAAAACTGTGTACTTGTTTGTGGGACAAAATGTTATTTTTACTGGGAAAACTGCTGCGATGGTGACTGGTTTGTTGTCTGAGTTGCAGCCATGAATTAGAGCAATCAAATAGTTCCTTGCTGATTGTTGTTACATTCATAATAGGTTGTTTTATCAACCATAAATTTAATAAATATGATCTGAGCTTTCGACCTACAGTACACATGCCATGGTTTGATCGCRTTTTTCTTTGTCAGTTATTCATTTCCCTGAGGATGGCCAAGTAGGCCAAAAGCTCCGATCATATTTATTAAATTTATGGTTGATAAAACAAACTATTATGAATTAGAGCAATGTTTACGAATCATTTCTCCAACATGATCAATGATAATAATGATAAAATACATATTATAAATGGTATATATCAGGTATGCTCCATCATATGGTCCAAAGAGTACAAAGAATTAATATCAAGCCATGGATATGCACAAAACCAGTTGATTATCTGGAAGTATCCAAGCATGACCAAAGTCACAGAACTAACTGGCCATTCCTGCCGAGTTCTCCATATGGCCATGAGCCCTGATGGCCAGACTGTCGTTTCTGCTGCAGCTGACGAAACTCTTCGTTTATGGAAGTGTTTTGCTACAAATCCACAAAAGAAGAAAACTAAATCATCATCGTCTATGACAAGTGCAATCATTAGGCAAGGAATTCGTTAATTGTGATTACATCACGAATAAATCAATAAAAAATTAAGGGTTACTGTTGGTTTTTTTATACCATGTACAAAGACATATAGTATACATATTTTATATATATTTGAGCATATTATAAATAAGACCAAAATTTCTAGTGTAAAATCATAGAAGCGTTAAAAAATTACCAAGAATGTAATTAGACTTCATGTCACTTTGTACTATGTTTTTAATAATTATTAAAAGGTCTAAATTACTTTTTTTGTAGTCTTCTGCAAGCACCTCTATGCGTAACTGTATTTACATTTTTTTGATTTCGCATTTCTAACAGTAAATATAGTAAGAAATATCCCTATGATGTGAATTTTTTAGGTTTTACAAAGACCATTAAACACGACATCCCACTTTATTACATGTAAGGGCCCTGACCAATGGCCCAACATTTGACCCAACATTTAGCCAACATTTGTAAGCAGAATGGTGGCAGGTTGTTGTGTTGTAAAAAAAACCAGCATGATAAATGTAGAGCCCAGCATTCATCCAACATTTTTCTATTACTGTTTTATAATATCAAATACTTCCAAAATCACAATAAAGCAACGCTCACATTACAATTTGGATAGCTACAAATAGTCAAATCATCAGAAAAAAATTGGGAAACTCATGTTGTGACCATTTGAAGCTCTCTTAAAACACTCATTAATAATTCATAAGCTTATGGTCCAATTGGAGCCACCATACACGTCACGTGCATGGACCTTTATACCCGATAAAGTCCTCTTCATTAGTATTCAAGTGATTTTATATAAAGACACGTGTCTTTATATAAAGACCATTCGAATACTGTGAGGATGACCTCATCAGAGATGAAATATGCATCCAAATTTAGATGAAGACTTAGAGCCTCATCAAGGTCATAGTCAACCCTAAAAATCTTTGACTAACGTGCCTATCTTTGCCTTGGCACGCAATATCCAACGTGTGGGAGCTTCTGATGAATCTGGTTGCGCATGCCCGTGACGTCAAATCTCTATCGAAGTATAATAATCCATGTTGGTGACGTGTATGGTGGCTCCAGTTGAACCAAAATCTTATAAATTGTTCATGAATGTCTTGAGCAGTTCAAAAAACTCGTAGATCGTGTTTTATCAGGCATAAAACACTCCTCGTTTTTTAAACACTACATAAAGGTCACGTGAGTTAACCATAATTCAAAATGTGATCGATCATTATCATTTTTGGTGGTGCTAACAGTTTAGTGATTTTGGTAGTAAAAGGGACATGTTTTTACAGTCCTTTTCAATAACACAAATGGAATCCTACAATTTGTGACTATGGAATGTCGTGTAATTATGATGATTCCTTGCATACTATTGAGAATGACTGTAATGTAGGTATCTATTTATCGAGTGTCCAGTGATTTTTCTCTTGCAATGACAGATTCTTCAAACTTTATCATTAGGGTGGTTCCTTTATGCCAATGTGCAGTTACTTTTGCTGGCTAAAACATCAAAAGAAATAAACACCTAATGAAAATCTTGTAGCTTCATATAAACAAAAAAGTGAGTCCAAAAACTAGAATCTCAAATCAGACCACAGGCAGCCAACCAGTATTGTTGTGGCTTGGTCCTGATAGTATTAAAATTCTACATTTCTAGATATTTTCAAAACTAGTAGGGCACCTTATTAGCCAAWATATATATATATATTTGGGCAACTTGTGATATGACCATGGGATGATAACTTACAAAGTTACAGCCATGAAGTACAGCTTCCACAATGCCACCAATGAATGATGCGCAATTCAAACTGCCTATAATTAGCAAAAAAATATGAATTATCAAAATGGCCTAAATATGCACAAAAATTACTTAGTTTAATATTTATAAACACTACAGAAACTGCCTATTTCTATGTGCTTTGGCTTCAGTCAAGTCTGAGTAGTAAGCTTTAATATTGACAAAAGCCAAAACATTCCAAGGTCATGTAAGGTCAAGTAGAAAAATTCAACAACTCACCTTTGTCCTTGGGCACTGAGATAAATTTATTAACTAATGGCTCTTTTTCAATAATATAATCTRATATTTAGTTAAAGAACAAGTACATAAAAATTATATAGTGTATCAGGGCTAAAACTAATGGCCAGGGCCCAGTTGTACGAAGCCTGGATAGTGCTATCTGGTGGATTTTTCAGTTATCATATTTCAAGTTTAATATATGGCGAAACTAATAAATAAATAAATAAATAAATAAATCCAGTGGAAGACAATGCTGTTTTCCAATAAATTTATCCAATGGATAAGATTTATCCATCAGATAGTACTATCCAGGCTTTGTACAACCAGGCCCAGTCATAATTGGACAATGTCCTGCCAGAATTGGACCTAATTTAGAGCTAATTTGGCTCTAAAAATGGTGTGTTAATGAGACAAGCAGCTTAGACTGGCTGTACATTAGGATACATGTCCTATCATCATCGTTRGCTTGCTCTAACTTGTCAGCTTCTTTTCCAAACAAGGACTGGAGCAAAAAGAAATAATTTGATTAGAAAATYTAAAATGGAATATGTTATGTATGGGCAAGCTATAGATTTGGTATCCTTRTATTTTGGGGTGAGGTGATGGCAGTATCAGTGGTGGATGGCAGTGGTGCATGTGTTTGGGGCTAGGAGATTCAAAATGTATAGGGCATTTCATTTTAACAATTTCAAATTTATAGTGTGTTATTTTGATTCAAAATTTTCAGATCTTGATCATAAGTTTGAACCAAGGAAGGAAACTAAAAACTTATGGCTAGTGGGGAGGGGATAGGGGCAGTATTGYTTGTGTCACAGTTTTCTCTCAAATTGTTTCAAGATTTAATCTGTAGATAAATAACAATAATTCATTGCTGAATTCACTTACCTTCCATAGTACAGACTTAATAAAGAGTAAGATGTTAAGRACTCTAACTTCTCTCTTCAACCCYTTCTCCCTCAAGACTAGAACATCAAGGATTCTTGTCCCGACGTGTTGTCCTAGCTCTGAAAGTCTATAAAAGTATTTGAAAGTGAATTGGATAATTGTATTAATGTGATCAAGTAATGAATTGTACAAGCTTACTTTGTTTGAAGTTCGGGGACAGTGTAAACTCTATTCTGACAATATTGAACCATTTCTGAGAAGAGCAACGCAAATGTACTGCAATTGATCTGGAATACGAAAAAAAAAGATAGTAAGTTCTAAATGAATTACTTATCTACTTAATAACGCTAAGTATACCTCATTTCTGCCTTTACTGAGAGGTCTGTCGAGGATATTAGCAGAACGACTTCTTCCTAATCGGGCCTCCATTTTGTTTTTTCCTTCAAGAGACACGACTTAACCACAGGAAGCCCACGCAACATCTCTCATTATTGTAACCATCTCGGTTGGCACTCGTTCACAAAGCTTTAAAAGGACGGCCGATGACATGGCACGGCCGATTAATATGCATTTTTTCAAATGATTAGCATGTTTTGATTATCTAATTTCTAAAATAAGACAGGAAGACAGGAAGACTGAAAAAGAAAAAGAAAAGCCATGGGGAAATTGGATAAACTGTTAGAAAAAAAAATGATCCGTAAAATTTAATGCGAGTGCGAAAAGTAAAAAATCTTCCTTTCAAACGGTGGTATTTGGACTTGAATTCACAACAGAAATTAAAACAAAAAACAAAAAACAACAACAACAACAACAAACAAAAAAAACGATTCAATGGTGCCATACCCCCGAGACATCCGCAGAGCTGAGGCGGCGTATGGACTTCGGACCTGACGGCAATTAAATCCTTCTGCCCTTGGGTGTACGAATTACGCAAGAAAATGTTCTAGCCGAAGCATCAGGGGAGAGACCAGCC